AAAAGTATCTCATTCCTTTAAGAGGCAACGGAGCCGCCCTGTTTCCTTTAAAACAAGGCGGTTCAACAGTACCAAATTTTCTTAGAGGTTGTCTTGAAAATTTGGTACTGTTGAACCGCCCTGCTTTCTTCAAACACGGCAGCACGCCTCCAGAAAAATGGCCTCCTTGCTATCTCTCTCCTCTCTCACTTCCCTTTCCCTTCTCTCCTTCTAGTTTCTTTTAACCGATAAAACACAAGAAAGGAACTTGCGTGATAAAGCAGTGGAAGGTAAACCGAGGGTGACTCCTTGCGCGTGGACCTTGCCGTACTTCATCATATCCCTCTTCTCGGCCTATCTCTTCTGCTCTTTTTTCTTACTGTTCTCCTGTTCATAATTCTTCCTGTTTAGTTGTTCTTATTTCGAAAAGAAAGAGGGAAGGGAGAGATAAGGGAGGGAGGAAAGATAAAGAAGAGCGCCATCTTCTCAGCGCCTTGTTTTGTCTCTCCCTCTTCTCTATTCATCTCTCTTCTATTCTTTTCTTTGCTATTCCATTGAAGTTGGGTTCCCTGTATCTCTCCTCTCTCCTTCTCTCTTCCTCCTCTTCTCCTGCTCCCCTCTAAACGGTTGCTCCTTACAGATAGGTGCCCTCCCTCCTCTTCAGGAAATATCCTTTCCCTTACTTTGCTTTTTTAAGCGAAGAAAACAACAGATAAGAAGAGAGGAAAGGGAATGACTAAGTAAAGAGAGGAGCCCTTCAATTTCCCTCCCTACATCTGATGTTACTATTCTTTCTTGGGTGGTGCCCTTCTTTCTCCCTTGAAGATGCAGAAAACTATCAGGAAGGACACCCGTTCCATCGCCCATATAGAGAGAGAGAGAGAGAGAGAGAGAGAGAGAGAGAGAGAGAGAGAGAGAGAGAGAGAGAGAGAGAGAGAGAGAGAGAGAGAGAGAGAGAAAGAGAAATCATGAGCATCAGCTGGGTTTGCTGCCGATCCAAAATGGGCATCCCTTTTAATCGCCTTCTGTGTCTTCAAACGAGCAAAAGGGACACCCTGACTAAGTGTTTCCTTGTGGTGTCCCTTTTCCTCGCTTGAAGATGCAGAAAACGATCCAAAAAGACACCCGTTCCATCGCCCATATATGGGGAGAGAGAAAAATCATGAGCATCAGTTGGGCTTGCTGCCAACCCAAAACGGGCGTCCCTTTTAATCGCTTGCTGTGTCTTCAAACGAGCAAAAGGGACACCCTAAGTGCTTTCTTGTGGGGTCCCTTTTCCTCGCTTGAAGATGCAGAAAACGATCAAACAGGACACCCGTTCCATCGCCCATATATAGGGAGAGAGAGAGAGGGAGAAATCATGAGCATCAGCTGGGTTTGCTTACATGTTCATTAATTGTTCTTCCTTTTGTCTTTTCTTTCTAACGGACATGAACAAGAGAAGAGAAAAATAAGAAACAGAGGAAAGATGAAAACGAGCACCGTCTTCTCTTTGCCTGATTTTTGCGCCTCCCTCGCCTGCCTTCATTTCTCTTCCATTCTTGTCATTGCTCTTCCCATTAGAGTTGCATTACTTTTGATCTCTCCTCTCTCCTTTCTCTCTCCTTTCTCTCTCCTCTCTCTCTCTCTCTCTCTCTCTCTCTCTCTCTCTCTCTCTCTCTCTCTCTCTCTCTCTCCCTTCTCTTCTCTTGTTCTCCTTTAAATCTCAAAAACACACAAAAGGAAGCTTCTTTGCCTTTTTGAATGAAAAAAGAAAAGAAAAAAGAGATAGGGAAACAAATTGAAGAGCTCCACCTTTCCTCTCGTTCTATGTGTTGCTTCCTTGTCGTTTCAGAAAGCAAGCAAAATGAGGGCAAGGGGGCTTCCTGAAGAGGAGAGGGGGCACCTATCTGCGAAGAGCAAGAATAGTCTTGTCTTGTTTAATTATAGAGGGAAAAGGGAGAGACAAAGAAGGGAGAGATTACAGATAAAGAAGAGTGCCATCTCCTTTGTGCCTTGTTGCGTTCCTCCGTCTCCTTGTTTCTTGTCTCCTCTCTTCTGTTCAGTACCCTTCCAGAAAAATAAGTGGCCTCCTTGCTATCTCTCTCCCCTCTCACGTCCCTTTCCCTTCTCTCCTTCTAGTTTCTTTTAACTGATAAAACACAAGAAAGGAACTTGCATGATAAAGCAGTGGAAGGTAAGGCAGAGGGTGACTCCTTGCGCGTGGACCTTGCCGTACTTCATCATATCCCTCTTCTCGGCCTATCTCTTCTGCTCTTTTTTCTTACTGTTCTCCTTTGCATAATTCTTCCTGTTTAGTTGTTCTTATTTCGAAAAGAAAGAGGGAAGGGAGAGATAAGGGAGGGAGGAACGATAAAGAAGAGTGCCATCTTCTCAGCGCCTTGTTTTGTCTCTCCCTCTTCTCTATTCATCTCTCTTCTATTCTTTTCTTTGCTATTCCATTGAAGTTGGATTCCCTGTATCTCTCCTCTCTCCTTCTCTCTCCCTCCTCTTCTCCTGTTCCTCTCTAAATGACAAAAACACAAGAAAGGAAGAACAAGATGGGAATGGAAGCCCTTTTCCTGTCTTCTCCTGTTGCAATAAGAAGGAAAAGAGCACAGGAGATAAGGAAGGGAATTGAAGAGCTCCTCTAGCAACTTTCTCATGCCCTTTCCTTTCTATCTACCACACCACAACACGACCCTCAGCTTCCAAATAAACCCTATTTAAGCCGGCCACCCCCCCCCTCCCCCTCCCCCCTCTCCTTTATAGGAAATGAAAACTGGACACGAACGATGTCCTCTATCTTTTAATGCAGCAGGAGAGAGCTCCTCTCTCTCTTAATGGGACATGAAAGTCCTCCTGTGTTTGTTTTCAATGAAAGATCTGTCTCTCGAGGAAATGGAAGATCTCCTCTGTCTCTTTCTAGGAAACACTTCTTCAAGTAGGAGAAAGGCTTTTTCATAAGGTGTAAATCAGGAGCTCTGTCATTCCCCAAAAAAGAAGAAGGAGAGAGGGGAGCCCTTGGAGGACCCTTTTCAGAAGAGGCAAGGGCACTCATTACCTACACAGAGATAAAAGAGCTTTCAGATGACCTAGACACATGACTTTCGATTGAATTCTGTGGCTCATGCTACAATAACAAAACAAAACGCATTGAACAGCAGCACAAGGCTATTGAAAACACCATTTTTTCAGAGAAAAAAGGAATTGAAGTTGAGCAACTTAGTTTCGATTAGAGTTTGTTGTTCTGCAACAACAAAACAAAATGCATTGAGAAAAGAGAAATAGCGCAAGGTCTACGGAAAAAACAACTTATTCAACAAAGACAGCAAACATAAAGAAGCAACCGAAACGAACGTTGTGCAATTTAGTTTCAGGTAGCTTCTGTGGGTTTTGTAAAAACAATACGGTATAGAAAAGCGCGTCGGTTAGACCCTTTCTCTTCAAAAGCCTTCGGCTAAACCCTACACACCAAATTCGTCAAGTTCTGTGGTTAGACTCGGTTAGACCCTTTCTTTGTAGAAACCTTCCGTCCATTACCCTAAGCCCGAAATCTCGTCAATTCTGTGGTTACTGCCTTTCTCTCCAAAAAAGCAAGGGTTGAACTGCTGAAGTTTAAATATGTAGTAGTTATAATAGCTTCCAAAGGTTTAAATGCTTCTGCTTTTGTGGCAGGAGGAGCCAGCAACAGAAAGTGTCTGGCCAAAGAGATTAGGGTTTAAATAGTCCATTGTATATAAACAAAAGACCTATGTCAAATCATACGTAAAGGTTCCTGCCTCATATATATATATACATGCGCAGCTATATATATATATATATATATATATATACATATGTATATATATATATATATTTTTGTATATGTATATGCACAAACATATATATATACACACACAGAACTCTCTCTCTCTCTATATCTCTATATGTATACATGTATATATTTATATATATAGATTTTGATATCGTGTATGTTGATCAAGTTCCACATGGCTGCCCTGCATCCTGCATCCTGATCGGCCTAAGGTCACTGGACCTACGCTCGAAGTATTCGGGTGCTCAGAGATACGTCGAGCAGCTCATGCATGCGCGTAACCATCCCGTCTGTCTTGACTCCTTGACCCCTGGAGGATAACCCTAAACCCTAAACCCTGAAACCCTGAAACCCTAAACCCTAAACCCTAAACCCTGATTCCCTAAACCCTAAACCCTGAACCCTGAAACCCTAAACCCTAAACCCTGATTTAAGGGGTATTGGGCTCTTTGGGAGAGTGTCCGGCACAAGCCTCAAGAGCTCCGGGTAGGCTTGGGGGATGACTGCTGGGTAGGGCTTAGGGTTTAGGGGTTTAGGGGTTTAGGGTTAGGGGTTAGGGGTTAGGGCTTAGGGTTTAGGGTTTTAGGTTTTTTAGGGTTTTGGGATTTTAGAAACTTTAGGGTTTAGGGTTTAGGGTCCTTAATGGAAGAACACCCCTTCCAGCTTTCCAAGTCTGATATCCGCAAAGACCCCAAAGTTGCAATCTGAGCCATTGTACCTCAAGCCCTAAACCCCTAAATCCTAGAATCCCACACCTTCCACCAGCAGCTCAAAAAAGAGACTAAAGTCCCCGACATCCTAAATCGTAAGCTCCTAGACACTAACCCCAGAATCCCAAAAAGGGGGGCTTCCGGCTCTCTCATTTCCAGAGCCAAAGTCATGTTCTGGAATTACGTCCCCAGGTGATTCTCAATATCCTACAATATATGCCTACGCCCTAAAGGCACTTAGATCAAAAGATAGACAGTGCTCTGTTCCGCCGATCGGCCGATCTTTATGGAGCTCCGTTTCATACGCCATGAACATTACCGAGTCCGTCTTCGGCTTTGTCAGCCCCCGCGCATCAGTTTTTGAACTTTCCATCCGGCCCTTAAGTAAAAACTTGCGAGTGGCCGCAGGAATCTCATGCTCCCAGCTGCCTGCGCATATACTTGTCGCGCGAACAAGAGCTTCTAGCTGGCTGATGCTTTATCAGCATGTGCTCTGACGCTACGACGCTCATGAGCTACAGCCCGTAGGTGTCGAGCCTGCTTAAGATATTCTGCCAGTCGGCGTTCCGAACAGCATAGGCAATTGCTGTTGACATGAGGGAGGCAATGGCTGTGAACTGACCTATCGTCAACTCCACACCCATTGTTCGCACCACGAGCCACGAGTCCAAGCGCAACCTGTTGGCGATCATCTCGGCCACGTAGATTGCATGGTCCTCACCACTCTCAACGTCTGTTTTCTGCTCCCCGCGGTTGATCTCGTGCTTGGTTCTGTAGTGGAGATATGCGCGGGCCTCACCAGCATGGCCAAGCAGCAAGTCGACAGTGCGGCGCCGCAGCATGTTAACTCGAAGACCCATGAAGAGCGGAGGCATGGAGAAGAACAAGAACGAGACAAGGATCACTATCGTCTCACAAAACAAGATGCCAGGATGCCAGCTCTTTACGAAAAACACAATCTCCCACGTGGTGATGGACGACAAGCAGATGACCGTCAAGAGGTTGAAGGCAAAGGAGAACTCCAAACTAAACTTCCGGCGCTTTGTGCTCAAGATGAAATAGCTGTACAGCTCATACCAGTTCAAGATGTCCTCAGGCACATCCACTCGAACATATGGCACACAGAGAGCCCTTGCAGCGGCCTTATCTGTAAGCATGATGCTGAAGATCCGGTATGCCTTGGACATTTCAGTGAACAACAGCATTATGCCACGAGGGTAGATGAAGCAGACATAGAAATGCAAGTACATCATGGACAGAAACACGATGGCAACCACCTTACTCCAGCTGTCCTCTGGCAAGTGCAAGTGAAAGTTTAGCTCCTTGCCACGCACAAAATCGGGCGCGATGGCCGCCAGGTACCCTAAACAAAGCGCCAAAACACTCCACAGGATTCGTGCTACAGTCAGGATGCATTGGAGACATCCCGCATCAACCTCCGGCCAGCCCACCAGAAGTTGCTCGGCGAGCTTGTCCAAATGCACTGCTTGCCGGTTCCGATACTGTTCCTGATAGTCTGACATGAAAAAGTTAAGCCTCTGGTCTTCTTCTTCCGAGAGCTTCTCAGTGAGGGTGATGGTCCATGTCAATTCCTTGAGGCGCATCATGCGCTGATCGAGAGAGCCATGCGCGCAGTTCACAAGCTTGCGATGGAGATCAATCAAAAGCAAGATTTGCTGAGCGTGTTCCATGGCTGTGTTGAAATTGGACCACGAGATCTGACCGCGACAAACGAGTGCCAGAAGCATTACGCAGTACTGCCATCGTTCAAGCTTCCAGTTATAGCTTTGGTTATCAATGCTTTCAAAGACCTTGCACAGTACCTTCACAAGCTGCTCGTCACTTATGTTCAGGCTCGTGCTGAGCCTTTTTTGAAAATCTCTACCAATGCCTTCCTTCATGCCTTCCCATTCGCGCGAATCCAAATTCCTGGTTGCCGCTGTAGACAAACTCATCCCAGCCTGTCATGGGTTCTCCTCCTACCCGCCGCCTCTCTATCCCCCCACAAGGTTCCCCCTTACCGAAATAGCCTTAATTATGTGTGGCCTTAATATGGGCGGCAGTAGGGGGAACCCATCGGGCCTGGAACCACAAAGGCAAGAAGACCTCGGTCGTGGGGATTGAAGCCTTTGCCAGAAGCCATGCCAGTACACTCGTATTGATGGCTGTTTGAAAGGGGCACATGTAGAACCACTGCTTTACAGCGTTCTTCTTCAGCGTGCCCCAAATACTCTTGCTGGACCCTTCCTCACCAGGCTCTGCGCCGCAGAGAATGGAGGTCAGCCTGTACAAGAAGTAGAGGGGGCTTGTCAAGTTGATCAACAAGTACTGGATGATTGCCTGAACGTTGGGCTCGAAAAAGGTGTTGTGGAAGTGGTCCGCCGGAATAAGGACTTTTCCCCCGGGTACTAGAGTAACCGAGCCACGAGAAGCCATTCCTTGGGAAGTAGGCTTCCCCCAGCCGTCCTCAGGAACCTCTAGAATATGCCCATCCTCCTTTTGAAGCACTCCTTCGGCGAGCTGCTCGCTTGAACCATCTGGAGCGTCCGCGGAGGTCGGTAAAGCTGGACCTGAAAGAATGCTCTTGCTGGACTTGCCCTTGAGCTTGGGCTTTGTAGTGGACTTCTTGAGTCGAGTGAGAGGCTCAGTCTCTGAGGCCGCACCGACTGTCGTTGGCGAATCTGCCATGAGCTGCTAAGCTCCGCGATTCACGGGGTAAAAGGAGGGTATACCTAGAAACCTAAGTAGCCCCCAAATAACCCCTAGACAACCCCTGAGGTCCCTTTGGCCTGCATCCCAGTCGACAGAGGGATGGGGAGAGGAGGCTTAGCTAAGAGTGTTGCCAAGTCAATGCAGAGCTGAACAAAACACAAGGCGTTCTGCATGGCTGCTGAAAGTCATTGAAACCCTTGCAAAATTTTCATAGGGCCCTATAAACATCATGCAACGATGAGGTACAGTATTTGCGAGCAACAGTGACAATGCCTTTCATCAATGAAGCCAAAACGACGAGGCGGCATCGAAGGGTCACCCTTAAACCCCAAACCCTAAACCCTAAACCCCAAACACCAAACCCCTGTGCAAAAACTTGCATGCACACGGACAATCATATTCAAAACTCATCAATGCTCATGTCTGTCGCCCCCTTCGGGTTACGGAACCCCACTGCGCCAATAACGAAGGCTTAAAATCTGAAAGCCGATTGAAGGTTAAGGGAAGGTTGTGTTCAGGCTGGCCATCACCACTGTACCCTTTTGAAATGCCAGGTCTGAGCAGGGTGATGGGTTTACCCTAAACCCTAACCCCTAAGGTTTCGGGTTTAGGGTTTAGGGTTAGGATTTCTAGCTCTGAAATGCAAGGGGCGGCGCTAAAGCAACGATCCGATAGCCCATGAGGGATCCGTGGGAGCTCTGGTTTTAACCCAGGAAAGAGAACCAATCAGTTGAAGCAAAGGTTTAGGGTTTAGGGTTTAGGGTTTAGGGTTTAGGGTTTAGGGTTTAGGGTTTGGGGTTTGGGGTTTGGGGTTTGGGGTTTGGGGTTTGGGGTTTGGGGTTTAGGGTTTGGGGTTTGGGGTTTGGGGTTTAGGGCTCAGGGTTAGGGTCTGAGACGTCGCCGGAGGCTCGCAAAGACTCGATGAATTTAGAAACTTTCCGGTGCTCCTACCAGGTCCCCGAAGAACATCCAAGGAGCATACCTCAAATGACAAGCATACCCTAAACGCGAAAGCAAAGCGGCGGTGGGGGCAGGGGGCAGCAGAGCTCACGAAGTAGGCTGAGGACTGAAATCCGGATACATAATAATAATAATAATAATAATAATAATAATAATAATAATAATAATAATAATAATAATAATAATAATAATAATAATAATAATAATAATAATAATAAACCATCATAGAAGGACCCGCCAAGCCCCAAACCCGAAAGCCTACAAGCCTGAGCCCGAAACCGACCGAAGCCCTACACCTCTGTCTATAAGATCCAAACCCGTAGCTATACCCAGGAATATACAATACACCCCCCCCCCCAAAAAAAAAAAGAATAAAAAAAGAACTAAACCCTAAACGCCGGGTTGTGTCAAAGACACGCGAGAGCCGCGAACTTCGACTCAATCCGAAACCCTAAACCCTACACCCTACACCCTACACCCTAAACCCCTAAACCCCTAAACCCTACACCCTACACCCTAAGCCCTAAACTTCGGGCGACTTTTCTTCCGCGGGGCTCGCGCCAAAGATGCTGGAGAGCCAACTTCGGTAGTACCGCGCCCCCTTGCGCTCGGAGGGCGCCTTGGATGAGTTGGGTGTAGACACCCCCCCGCCCCCCCCAAAACCCCAAAAAAAAACCCAAAAACCTCTAAAACCTCAACCCTAATACCCCTAAAAACCCCTAAAAACCCCTAAAAACCCCTAAAAACCCCTAGAAACCCCTAGAAACCCCTAAAAACCCCTGAAGCCCTAGGGTTTAGGGTTTAGGGTTTAACGCTAAACGGCAAAGCCTTGAAACTTCATGAAACCCCTAAAACCCGAAGGCCCCATGAAACCGAAACTAAGGCCCTAAAAAGCCCTAAGCGCCTAAATCCCTAAAAACCGTGGAAGCCCTAGAGCCCCGAGGCCCTGAAACCCTAAAGCCCAACAGCCTAACCCCCCTAACCCCCCCTAACCCCCCTAACCCCTCCTCCGTTCCCTGCCCAGGCTTCTGCTGCATATGCTAGAAGGGGGGAATATTGATGTTTGGGGCGGCTGGGGGGTTGTATATCAGGCGAGGGCATTCTGCTAGCCTTAGTCATGCCTTTTAGTATGTACCGCCCTGCAACCTGAACCCAGCCCACCCTAAACCCTAAACCCTAAACCCCAAACCCTAAACCCCAAACCTCAAACCCTACACCCTCAACCACAAGTACCCGAACCAGGCCGTGGCAACATCAGCTGAGGAGCGTAGCCGAAGACGATGGCCAGATTGGGCTCCTAGAATTCCGGGATTCAGAGAGGAGGCGTTTTGGAGGGCGTGGGTCTTGAGCACGTGCTGGGTCAAGAGAGGATGGGATGGATTCATCGGCTTTCTTTGGTGTGGTGTGTGTGTCCCCCCTGCAAAGCTCTTCTGAAAGCCCAGCCCAAAAACACAAAAAAACTGACCTAACCCTAAACCCTGAACCCTGAACCCTAGACCCTAAACCCTAACTTGCCGTCACAACTCCACGTGTCTAGTAGTGGTTTTGGCACCTGGGAGCCCAGGACGGCATGCCACCATCCGGCAGGCAGGTAGAGGCCCTCGCCTTCTTCAGGGTTTAAGGTTTAGGGTTTAGGGTTTAGGGTTTTCGGATTTAGGGTTTGTTTAGGGTTTCATTAGAGATAGTTCCCCCCCCCCTCCCCCCCTTCTTTCCCGGTTGTTCCCCCCGTTCCCTCTCCGGCTCCCCCCCCCCACCCCCTTCCCACCCCTTTTCCCTTCTGTAGGATCCGCACCTGAAGCATGAATAGCTGACTTCTTCAAAGAAACGACAAGGTTGAACTTCATTGCTCCCACAAAACTAGAAAACTCAAAATATTTTAAAGTTCATCTATAATAGTATTTTCCCACGAAACAAGAAAACTCAACAAGTTTTTTAAAGTTCATCTATGATATTTGCTTTGTAGATAGCGGGCCTTGCTGCAAACCATCCGCGCACCCTGCAGCAGACGTGAACTATGCTCCAGTTCCCATCAACCATTGCCATACACCTCAAAGTGCCACTCCGAACACCCTATTCTGACATTGAGTTGTGTTTTAAACGCCGTACTTATGAAATCAAAATATCCCAATGCATAGCCCAGCTTATTTACAGCCTCACCGCCCGAAAGCTCCAACGCCCCACCTGCCCCAAACGACCCAACTCACCTACTAGTAACTATTCCGAACCCTAAGCCCTAAACCCTAAACCCTAGAAAGCACTCGGACGAGCCTGCTTTGAGCTCCACGTCGAGTGGAGCTGGGCAGCCTGGGCGTGGGGAGGTCCTGTCAGCTCGGACATGGTATTCTTGTTGTTATGGTTTAGGGTTTAGGGTTCAGGGTTTAGGGGTTTAGTTCCAACGGGTTTAGGGGTTTAGTTCCAACGAGCCCAAAAAACCCCCTAAAGAAGGAATGTGCCTTAAATCATATTCAGGACCCCTGTATAATTTAAGGTATATTCCTTAATTGAGGGGTGTTGAGCTCCTCTGGGTTGTCTCTGGGCTCAGGGGCTGTAGGGTTCAGGGTTTAGCCCTTGCAATCGAGGAATAGAGGGATTTCGGGCTTCAAAGGGTGTCTGGTTTGGGTTCCGGCGTCTTGGAGGGCTCATGATGAGATGCTGCAGCTCGATATGGAAGGAAGCATGTTGGTGGCCGGTCTGCTGATCTAATTAATACCCATGCCCATGCTCAACGAAAGCCTCAGAGTCACCCTAAGCCCCGAAACCTCCAACCCGAATAAGCACAATACCCCCAATGCACCCCCCCCCCCGCCCCCCCCCCCCAAGCCCTAAATCCTAAACCTAAAGCCTAATATCCTAGAGACTTTCAGCCAGAGACCTGCGTCTGGCTTAGGCTGTAAGTCTCCCAGTTGAACTCCACGTTGTTTTGACACAAGAAGAACGCTGCTTGTGCCATGGCCACGTCATGCTCCGATGCCCCGGTCTGCGCTGCAAAAAGATCATCATCCACATAGAACCCAAGCGTTGTAGGATAGACCGGCGTGAAGTTCAAGGCAGGGTTTAGGGTTTAGGGTTTAGGGTTTAGGGTTTAGGGTTTAGGGTTTAGGGTTTAGGGTTTAGGGTTGGCAGCTGGGACGCCGCAGCAGCTGCTGCTGCACTGGCTGCATGCAACTTCAGTGAAGCTTTGAAACAAGTCCTTCACATTGCTGAAACATCCGAGCCCCGGAGTGTTCAGGGTTTAGGGCTTAGGGGGTGCCGGGGGTTTCGGGTTCTTTTGGGGGGTTTAGGGGTTTAGAGTTTTAGGGGGTTTCGGGTTGAGGGGGCCAGGTTTACGGTTTTGGGTCTAGCGTGTTTCTGGGGTTTCGGGTTCAGGGAGTTTAGGGGGTTGAATGGATTTCGGGGGTTTTAGGGGTTTGGTAGCAAGAGTTGCGGTCTACACACCCCAAGCCCCGACCGGTTGGAGCCCCGAAATGCGGTCACAAGGTCGGCGTTCGGTCCTGCGCCAGTGCGATGCCTCCGCAAAGGCATCCACGGGGGAGTAGACCTGAAGCATCTGCTGGGGGGGCTTCCTGAAATTGGGGGGGGTACCTTATTGGGCTTATTATGATAAGGGGATCCTACTACTTGGGGATCTGTATTGGGGGTGCCCTATCTTGGTAAACCCTCACCTGCTGAGGGTACTAGGAGTCCCCAACTTTTAAAAAATGGCAGGGAAGCTCAGAATGATTCCGAGGGGCTGCGGGCACGACGCCGCTTAGCCAGCCTGAGCATCTTCATGAATTACACAGAGAGCCTTGTGACTAGCCGAGTGTAGGGTTTAGGGTTCAGGGTGCTCATGTGTGCATGTTCAGTCTGTTTGTGCATGTTTCGACAAGAGTTTTAGGGTTTAGGGTTTAGGGTTTAGGGTTTAGGGTGCAGGTGCCCGACATGCAGCGCACATGGGATTGCCACTTTCGGCCTGTCACAGTAAACCACAAGAGCTGTCGCCCGAACCACGAAACCCCAAACATCCCCAAGCCTGA